GGAAAGGAAGACCTTTCTGTCTGTCTCTCTCTCACTGTCTAACTCTGCCTGGTTAAGTCCTTTGCCCATTTCTTAACTGGGTTGTTGTTTCGTTGTTGGGTTTCTTGATCTCTTTATATATTTTAGTTATGAATCCTTTATCAGTTGCATAGTTTACAAATAATTTCTCCCATTCTCTCTGTTGCCTCTTCACTTTGCTGAGTGCTTCTTTTGCGGTACAAAAGCTTCTCAATTTGAGGTAATCCCATGTGTCAATTTTTGGCTTTGATTGCTTGTGCCTCTGGGGTCTTTTCCAAGAACTCTTTGCCTATGCCAACATCTTGCAGGGTTTCCCCTGCTTCAGCAAAACTGGAAACAATCCAGACGTGCATCAGCAGGAATCTGCATTGCAGCATAGTGGGTGAACTGCCATCTACATCACTGGGGTCCCGTGTGGGTGCCAGGTCTGCTCCACTTCCCATCCAGCTCCCTCCTAAGGGCCCGGGAAAGCGGAAGATGGTGGAATGCTTGAGCCCCTGCGTCCATGTGGGAAACCCAGAAGAAGCTTCTGGCTTCAGCTTGGCCCAGCTCCAGCTGTTGTGATCGTTTGGGGAATGAACCAGTGGATGGGGGATCTCTCTGTCTCTCTCTCTTTCTGTTTCTGCCTCTATCTTTCCCTCTCTCTCTGTAACGCTGCTTTTCAAATAAGTAAAATTTTTTAAAAGATTTATTTATTTTACTTGAAAGTCAGAGAGGAGAGACAGAGAGAGTTTTCCATCCACTGGTTCACTCCCCAGATGGCCACGATGGTCAGAGCTGTGCTGATCCAAAGCCAGGAGCCAGGAGCCTCTTCCAGGTCTCCCACGTGGGGGCAGGGGCCCAAGGACTTGGGCCATCTTCTACTGCTTTCCCATGCCATGGCAGAGAGCTGGATTGGAAGTAGAGCAGCCGGGTCTTGAACTGCAGGCAGCAGCTTTACCCGCTATACCACAGTGAAGGCCCCAAGTAAATATTTTTTTTAAAGATATATTTATTTATTTGAAAGTCAGAGTTATACACAGAGAGAAAGAGAGGCAGAGAGAGAGGTCTTCCATCCGCTGGTTCACTCCCCAATTGGTCGTAATGGATGGAGCTGTGCCAATCCAAAGCCAGGAGCCAGGAGCTTCTTGTGGGTCTCCCACATGGGTGCATCGGCTTAAGGACTTGGGCCATCTTCCACTGCTTTCCCAGGCCATGGGAGAGAGCAGATCAGGAAGTGAAGTAGCTGGGACTTGAACCAGCGCCCGTTTGGGATTCCGGCACTGCAGGCGGTGGCTTTACTCACTACGCCACAGTGCTATCCCCCTAAGTAAATATTTTTTAAAAAATGTGCATCAACAGTAGCATGGTAGGTTGTGGTAGATTTCATTTGACAGACTGTCAGAGAGTGAGAATGCATGAGCCACAGCAGCACACATTCACATGGATGTTTGCAGAACCTGAAAGAACTAAAACAGAAAAAAAGTAGTGCAATGCAATTTATGAATATTTAGTGTCAAGCAAAACTGAACAATTTATGGATTGCAGATAAATACACAGAAGATTAAAATATTAAGTCACGAGCGACAACAATTATTACCATAAAAGTAGGGGCAGAAAGGAGTGGGCATTTGTACAGTGGTTAAGGTATTGCTTGGAACATGAACATCCCGTCAGCCTGCCTGGGGTCCTGTCCAGGCTCTGCTTCCGAGTCCAGTTTCCTGTTACTGCATACCCTAGGAGTCAGCTCAAGTGCTCGGGGTCCCTGGCACCCACATGAGAGACCTGGATGGACTTCCAGACTACTGGCTTCAGCTTGGCCCAACCCTGGCTTTTGCGGAGCAAAAATGTATGAGACCTCTGTCTATCACTCGCTCTGTCTTACCTCTCTCTGCCTTTCAAATAAATTTTATCTTTTTATATTTATTTTTATTTATTTGAAAGAGTTACACACACACACAGAGACACAGAGAGAGAGAGAGAGAGAGAGAGAGAGGTCTTTCATCCACTGGTTCACATCCACTGGCCACAATGGCTGGAGCTGAGCTGATCCGAAGCCAGGAGCCAGTAGCTTCTTCCAGGTCTCCCACATGGGTGCAGGGGCCCAGGGACTTGGGACATCCTCCACTGCTTTTCCAGGCCATAGCAGAGAGCTGGATTGGAAGAGGAGCTTCCAGGACTTGAACCAGCACTCATATGGGATGGGGGCACTGCAGGCCAGGGCTTTAACCCACTATGCTGCAGCCCTGGCCCCCAAATAAATTTTAAAAAATAAAAAGGAAAAACAAAAATAATTAAGGATAGCAGTTATCTGTGGTGGGCAAGAGGTTTGGGAACAGTTATTCAGTAGCCAATCATAATATTTCCTGAAGCAGCTGTGCAAAAATATGGACAGCCAGTCATCTCCATATATTTATCATTTCCTTCTTATTATAAATAAGCTTCCTTTTGTTATTTTATCATACACTTTTAGCTAATGCCAAGTTTCCCTGTATAGTTGGGTCTGTTTTGGGGCTCTTTTTTTTATACATATATATAAAATGTATCTGATGGGCAGAGGGACAGAGAGAGAGAGCGAGATCTGCCATCTGCAGGTTCACTTCCCAGATACAGCAATGGCTCTGGCCCAGGTCCAGATTTTCCATGTGGGTGGTGGGAACCCGGTTATTTGAGTCATCACTGCTTCCTGCCAGGATCTGCATTAGCAGGAAGCTGGAATTGGGAGCAGAGCTGGGGACGAAACCCAGGTTCTCTGAAACAGAACGTGGTGCTTTAACTGCCGTTTTAACCACTGGGTCAAACGTCCGTCCCACTGTTCTCTTCTGTTGATTCTACTTCCTGTACCTCTGCCTGTAACACACTGTGGTAACGCATGTCATATAAGCGGGCATTTCAAAACGTTTATAGGAAATGGAATGAAAGGATGAGCTTGTTTTGTTACCAAAAACTTTGAAATCCATGCATAGTGTTTTCATGGTATGCATTTTCCATGGATTTTTTTGAAGATTCCTCATAGAATGTTTTGATAACTGATGCTGAATTTTTTCTATGATTAGTTTTGTTAATTGAAAAGAGTACTTCAGGGGCTAGTGCTGTGGTGTTGCAGGCTAAGCCTCTGCCTGTAGTGCCGGCATTCCATATGCTGGCACCAGTTCCAGTCCCAGCTGATCCACTTCTGATCCAGCTCTCTGCTGTGGCCTGGGAAAGCAGTGGAAGATGGCCCAAGTGGTTGGGCCACTGCATCCGCATGGGAGACCTGGAAGAAACTCCTGGCTCCTGGCTTTGGATCAGTGCAGCTCTGGCTGTTGCAGCCATTTGGGGAGTGAATCAGTGGATGGAAAACCTTTGTCTCTCCCTTTCTCCTTCTGTAATTCTACCTCTCAAATAAAATCTTTTTTTAAAAAAAGAATCACACAAAAAAAGAGTACTTCTCTATATGGAAGCTTGTTTTATTTTTTATCTGTTTTAAGCTTTTTTTTTTTTTTATTTGAAAGTCAGAGTTACACAGAGAGGAGAGGCAGAGAGAGCGAAAGAAACAGAGAGAGAGAGGTCTTCCATTCGATGGTTCACTCCCCAGTTGACTGCAACAGCTGGGGCTGTGCCGATCCGAAGCCAGGAGCCAGGAGCTTCTTCCAGGTCTCCCACATGGGTGCAGGGGCCCAAGGACTTGGGCCATCTTCTGCTGCTTTCCCAGGCCATAGCAGAGAGCTAGATTGGAAGTGGAGCATCTGGGTCTTGAACCGGTGCCCACATGGGATGCTGGTGCTTCAGGCCAGGGTGTTTACCTGCTGTGCCACAGTGCCGACCCCAGAAGATTGTATTTTTAAAAAGATTTATTTATTTGTTTGAATGGCAGAGAGAGAGAGAGCAAGAGTGAGAGTGAGAGTGAAAGAGAGAGAGAGAGAGAGAGAGAGAGAGAGAGAGAGAGAGAGAGAAACTAGTGCTTCCATCTGCTGATTCACTCTCCAAATGGCAATAACAGCGAGAGCTGGGCCAGGCCAAAGGCAGGAGCCAAGAGTTCCATCCAGGTCTCCCACGTGGATGGCAGGGGCCCAAGCACTTGCACCATCCTCTGCTGCCTTTTTAGGCACATTAGGAGGGAGCTGGATACGAAGTGGAGCAGCCAGGGCTTCAGTTGCACTTTGACATGGGATGCCAGCATTGCAAGCAGCAGCCCAACTCTCCACAGTGCCAGCCCCAGAAGATTGTATTTTCTAAAGGTGACCAGAAGAAGACTCCTGGTTCCACATGCTATTCCAAAATCTTACCACTTCCCCACGGAGAGGTGGATTCTGGTTCCCCTCACCTTGCTGACAAGGCTTTTGTGACTCTCTGAAGGGGTGCTGTGTGCCTTCCTGGTCTAGGTTATGGTGGGTGCTACAGCTTCTTCTTCACGCTCTCTGGGGCACTCACTTTTGGAACCCAGAATTTATTTTTTAAAATGGGGCTGGGGGGCCAGTGTTTAGCAATTAAGACACCAGTTAAGACCTGGATATTCTGCATCAGAGTACCTGGCTTCAGTTCCCACTCTGGCTTATTCCAGCCTTCCACCCATGCAGACCATGAGAGGCAGTGGTGATGGCTCAAGTCACTGGTTCCTACCACCGTTGTGGGAGACCTGGATTGAGTTCTCGGCTCCCAGTTTCAGTCCTGGCCAAACCTTGAACATTGCAGTCATTTGGGAAGTAAACCAGCAGATGGGGCTCTGTCTGTTTCTCTCTCTCTCTCTCTCTCTCTCTCTCTCCCCCACCCCTCCCCTGCTTCTCAAATAAATAAACCATTTAAAAGGCATGATTAAAAAAAAGGGGGGATTATACCATTTGATTATACATGTGACTTGACAAATTACTCTTGTTTTTTTTTAAAAAAAAAAAAAAACTTAAAAAAAATGTATTTGAAAGGTAGACTTACACAGAGAGAGGGAGAGCCTGGAGCTTCACCTGGGTCTCCCTCATAGGTGTCCGGGGCCCAAGAGCCTGAACCATCATCTGCTGTCTTCTCAGGCACATTAGCAGGAAGCTGGATCAGAAGCAGAGCAGGTGGGACTTGAAGCAGCACTCCAACATGGAATGTCAGTGTTGCAAACTGCGCAGAACCCTCTGTGCCACAGGTGGGCCAGACACATTCCTTTTTTTTTTTTTTTTTCCCACTTACCAATTTGATGTCCATATTCCTCAAGGCCTGGGGGTGTTGAAATGTCTTTCAGGCATGAACATCAGCAATCTGGGAAGGGACTCCCAACAGCATGCCACGGATGGCCGGGCGCAAATATTTAGAAAGTTCCCACCTGCTGGTTCACTCCCCAAAGGCCCACAATGGCCGGGACTGGGCAAGGTCCAAACTGAGAACCAGAAACTCAACTCCATGTGGATGTCAGGAACCCAGTTTCCAGATGACAGCATGTGATAGGGGTGGTCCTGATGAGAGAACCAGCGACAGGGTGAACATCTCCCAGTACTCTCTCGTGGCATTTGTCCTGAAGGGCTGAGGTTACAGCTTTTCTGGGGATGTCCCTGAACACACCAAACTCTGGGGTCTTCCATGTGACCTCATAGGCCACACGTGGAGCTGGCCATGGTGCTGTCACAAAACTCTGATAGCCTAGGCTTTTCCCAGGGCATATCAGCCTGACTGTTCTGGCTCATCTCTCTGGTGCTGGGCCCGGGGCTCAGATCTTTGTGAGTGCAGCAGAGAGAGGTGTCAGAGTAAGTGTGGCAGAAGTGCCGCAGATCGCTGCTGTCTGGCTTGTCTGTGACAGAAAGGCCTCTCTTGTTTTCACAGTGTCTCTTTCAGTGAGGTAGGGTTGGATGGAGTGAGATGAAGCCAAGATCAGGATAAAAGTGAATGGGGTTTTATTTTTATGTTAAAGATTTATTTATTTATTTGAAAGGCAGAGTGAAAGAGAGAGAGAGAGAGAGAGAGAGAGAGAGAGAGAGAGAAAGGTCTTCCATCCTCTTGGTTCACTTCCCAAACAGCTGCAGAAGCCGGGAACCCAGAACTCCATGTGGGCCTCCCACGTGGCAGGGGCCCAGGTACTTGGGCCATCTTCTGCAGCTTTCCCAGGCAGACTGGCAGGGAGCTGCATCAGCAGTGGAGCAGCCGGATTTGAACTAGCGCTCTGATATGGAATGCCAGCATTGCAAGTGGTGACTTAATCCATGACACCACAACTCTGGCCCCTATTTTTATTTTTTAAAAAGATCTCTTGGGGCCAACACTGTGGTGTAGTGGGTAAGGCCATCACCTGCAGTGTTGGCATCCCACATGGGTGCCAGTTTGAGTCCCGGCTGCTCCACTTCCAATCCAGTTCTCTGCTATGGCCTGGGAAGGCAGTGGAAGATGCCCAAGTCCTTGGGCCCCTGCACCCACATGGGAGACCCGGAAGGAGCTCTTGGCTCCTGGCTTCGGATTGGCACAGCTCTGGCTGTTGCAGCCATCTGGGGACTGAGCCAGCGGATGGAAGACCTCTCTCTCTCTCTGTCTCTCTCTCTCTCTCTGTCTCTCTCTCTCTCTGCCTCTGCCTCTCTGTAACTCTGCCTTTCAAATAAATAAAATAAAATATCTATTTATTTATTTGAAAGGCAGAGAGGCAGAGAGAGCCATCTTCCATCTGCTGATTCACTCCCAAAATGCCTACAATAGCCAGAGCTAGGACAGGTCTAAGCCAGGATCTGGGAACTCCGTCCAGGTCTCCAATGTGGGTGGCAAGAATCCAGGTTCTTGGACCATCATCTGCTGCTCTCAGGTGCATTAGCAGGAAACTGGATAGGAAATGCAGAGTAGCTGGGACTCGAACCAGGCACTCTGATAGGATTTGCAGGCATCCCAAGAGGCAGCTCAACCTGCTGCGCCACAGTATCCGTCCCAGATTTTATTTCTAAGGTTTTTATTATGGAAAAATTCTTTTTTTAAAAATAAGTTCTATTGTTTATATTTCAGGCAAGGATGATATTACAGGATATATATATATATATATAGTAAAAAAAATGGACTGTAGCGAAGCAAATCAACATCTCTGTTGACTTATAATCATTAGCTATCTTTTTGGTTTTGTGACAAGAACGATGAAACTCTATGAGAAGAGGGCAGGCACTTGGCCAGTGGTGAAGATGCCTGCGTCCCACGTCGGAGTGCCTGGGTTTGATTCCTGGCTCCAGGTTCGTGCCAGTGCAGACCCTGGGAGGCCGTGATGAAGGCCCCCAGTAACTGGGTCCCCATTGCCCACCTGGCAGACTTGGTCTGAGTTCCTGGCTCCTGGCTTCAGGCCTGGCCCAGTCCAACATGTTGCAAGCACTTGAGGGATGAACTAGAAGATGAGTTCTTCTCTTTCTCCATTTGCCTCACAAATAAATAAAATTTAATAAATAAAATATGTTAAAAACTATGAAAACATTTCAAACAAACAAAAGGATAAGGAAAATATAATTAGCTCCTGTAAGTGAGTACACACATCCATCTCCTGCTTTAACAATTTCAACATCTGGTCATCTTGTTGTACTCATATCTTCCCTGCGCTCCAGCGTACTCTAAATTACAGTGTGGAGACCTTTATTGTACCATTTCACTTAATACTTCAATATTTACAGTAAGTATGGCATTGTGACTAAACAATAAGGAATTTCTTTTAATATTACCCCAATGCCATTATCACATCTAAAAGACTGAAAATAGGGGAGGGAGTTTAGCCTGGCAGTTGTGATGTCAGTTAAGACCCCCACGTCCCAGAGTGGGATACCTGGGTTTGATACAGAGCTCCTGCTCCTACTCCAGCGCTGGCTAATCCAGAGCCTGGCAGGCAGTGGTGATGGCTCAGGTAGTTGGGTTCCTGTTCCTGCCTCCCACATGAACTGGGTTTCTGGCTCCCAGCTTTGACCCTGCCCAGTCCCCGCCACTTAGGGAAGTGAACCAGCAGGTGGTTTTCTCTCTCTTTCTTTCTGTGTGTTTACCTGTTTGCTTCTCAAATAAATTTTAAAAAATAAAAATAATTTCTTATTATTATCAAGCATCCAGACAGTGTTCAAATTTCTCTGGTTTTCCTAAAAGAATTTTCATTGATAGGTAGAAATAAAGATCAAACAAAAATGATACATTGCATTTCACTAACATGTTTCTTTTCTTTCTTTTTTCTTTTCTTTTTTTTTTCTTCTCACTGTCTCTGACAAGTCCTTTATTCAAAATAAGCTGTCCCGGAGGATTTGACCCTCACGGAATACACAGGTTAAGAGTCTCTGCAGCGGACCTCTCTTCCGTGGCAGCTTCTCTGCTGCGTCTCTGTTGGCGCAGCCGCTCACGGCTTCCTCTGCACCTTGCCACCAACAGCCTTCCTTCCTTTCCGCACTGGCACCAGCTTCTTGCCTGCAACCCCCTTCTGGCCTCACGTGGATGCTGGTGCTGCTGCCGCCTGGCCTGGTGAAGAATGGTGATGTGGTGCACGGTCTTGACATCAGGGTGTAGCTTCAGCATGATGCTGAGGTTCTCTTTTCTTTTCTTTTCTTTTCTTTTCTTTTCTTTTCTTTTCTTTTCTTTTCTTTTCTTTTCTTTTCTTTACAAATAGAGTTAGTGAGAGAGAGAGAGAGAGAGAAAGGTCTTCCTCCTGTTGGTTAACCCTCCACATGGCCACTATGGTCGGCGCACTGCGCCGATCCGAAGCCAGGAGCCAGGTGCTTCTCCTAGTCTCCCATGGGGTGCAGGGCCCAAGCACTTGGGCCATCCTCCACTGCCTTCCCAGGCCACAGCAGAGAGCTGGCCTGGAAGAGGGGCAACCGGGACAGAATCCGGCACCCTGACACCCTGACCAGGACTAGAAGCCGGTGTGCCGGCGCAGCAAGGTGGAGGATTAGCCTAATGAGCTGCGGCGCTGGCCTACGTAGACATTTTTGATGTCCTCCCAGGTCTTTTTTTTTTTTTTTAAACAGGCAGAGTGGACAGTGAGAGAGAGAGAGAGAGAGAGAGAGAAAGTTCTTCTTTTTTGCCATTGGTTCACCCTCCAATGGCTGCCGCGGCCGGCGTGCTACAGCCGGCGCATTGCGCTGATCTGAAGCCAGGAGCCAGGAGCCAGGAGCCAGGTACTTCTCCTGGTCTCCCATGCGGGTGCAGGGCCCAAGGACTTGGGCCATCCTCCACTGCACTCCTGGGCCACAGCAGAGCAGAGAGCTGGCCTGGAAGAGGGGCAACCGGGACAGAATCCAGCTCCCTGACCGGGACTAGAACCCGGTGTGCCGGCACCGCAGGCAGAAGATTAACCTAGTGGGCCGCGGCGCCGGCCTGACCTCCCAGGTCTTAAGTTTCTTTAGAAGCTAAACAGTCTCGTTGGTCTTCTGGTAGCGTTTAACCTCATCTTTGCCCACCAGGAAGTTCAGGCACTTCCTCAATACGAGGCCCTGTGGATGTGACCAGTGCTGGCAAGGCTGGCAAAGCCAGGGCAGAGCGTACGGAGGGATGCTTGGGGCCCTGTTCACTCTACTGGGCCAATGACGCCAGGTTTCGGTTAGTGCAAGCAGGAGGCCTCCTTGGCACACATTCCCAGAAACCCCCTGGCCAGACTGGTGAATCCCATCACCTTGAACTCAGAGAACTGGCACCACGGCTCAGCCAGTGCCCCAGGACTCAGCACCGGGCGATGACCTGCTAATTTGTGGGCAGCACAGGGCTTGCCTGTTGTTTTGTGCAAATTGGTGTGAACAAAGTTCACAGTATCTGGTCCAGTGGGAGCCCCGAGCATGGCAGGCAAAGTGACCTTTTTGCAGATGACTCCCCCTCTCTGTGAGTACCGGTGGTGAGTAGAGACGCCATACTTCTCAGCCTGCCGGCTCCCACAGGAAGTAACGTGGATGAGTTTTGGGAAGTCTTTCTCATCCATAGCCTCTCTCTGTCTCTTTCAATCTATTTGTTGAGGAAACAGGTCACTTGCCTTTTAGCGCGTTCACCACATACTGTGTTTTTATTATTGCACCTTTATAGTGCTCTTACACTCATTTTTCTGCCCCCACTTTCATGTATTTCCTGTATATGGACTGTGAGATCCAGAGACTTGAGCAGAGTCATTCTGAGTCTTTGACAGGAATACCTCCTAGAGGATGCTTTGGACTTCCTGTTGTGTCTCAGGACACA